ACACACACACACACACACACACACACACACACACACACACACACACACACACACACACACACACACACACACACACGAAGCCCCGCCCAGGGCCCGCTCCCCCCCCCGGAGGAAGCGGCTCCGGACCTCTTCCGTGCCGGCCCCGAACGAAGCCCCGCCCCACCCACGCTCGCCCCGCCCCCACGCTCGCCCCGTCCCCGCCCGGCAGCCGGCGACGCGAGCTGGGCGCGGGCTGGGGCCCTGGGGCGAGGGCGGTCTCCAGGTCCCCAGAACCTGGAGACCAAGGGGCACCTTGGGAGCACTGTGCGGGCGATGGGGGAAAAAAAAGGAGTGTCCGTGTGAATCGGTGGAGGCGTCCCCGCGGGTGCTGTGGGGGACGGAGATGAGGGGTCCCCGGGGCGTGGTGGGGGGGCGGAGATGGGGGTCGATGGGGCGCAGTGGGCGTGCGGCACTTCTCAGCCTCAGCGCTAGTGCTGTTTGGGGGCAGGTCATTCATTTTTGTGGGGCTGCCCTGGGCGATTGCAGGGTATTTAGCAGTATCTCTGGTTTCTGTCCACTAGATGGCAATAGCTGTCCTCCAAGTTGGGGACAACCGACCGTCTGCTCATGTCCTATCCACCGGGGGGACCGAATCGCCCCTCGTTGTGTGCCAGGGCTATAGATAGATAGATGATACATAGTTAGATTAGATTAGATAGATAGATAGATAGATAGATAGGTAGGTAGGTAGATGATGGATAGATAAGGTGAATAGATGATTGATAATACAATGGATGGATGGGCAGTTAGAATGGATGGATGGCTACAGATACATAGATCATAGATAGATAAATAGATGTTAGATAAATGCTAGATGGATAAATGCTAGAGATAGATTATTTATTAATATAGAGACAAATAGATATGACGGATGGATGGGTGGGTGGGTGGATGGATGGATGGATACATAGATAGATACACAGATAATTAACAGATAGATGACAGAGTCATTCTAGTCAGGGTTTCTCAGCCTCACACTACTGACATTGGGGGCTGGGTGACGCTCTGATACGGGGCATCCTATGTGCACTGTGGGCTGTGGAGCAGCATCCCTGGTCTCCACCCACCAGGTGCCAGGAGCACCCCTCGCCACCACGGTGACAACCAAAATGACCCCTGACTAATACATAACACGTATATATAAACTAATACACACCTATGTAGATGTGGATGTGTCTGTATATATATATATGGTATATCACGGTATGTGGTGTGTATCAACGTGACATCCTAATGTATTTTTATTTTATTTTATTTATTTATTTGGCTGTGTTGGGTCTTTGTTTCTGCGCGCGGGCTTTCTCTAGTTGTGGCGAGCGGGGGCCGCTCTTCACCGCGGTGCGCGGGCCTCTCACTGTCGTGGCCTCTCTTGTTGTGGAGCACAAGCTGCAGACGCGCAGGCTCAGTAGCCGTGGTGCACGGGCCTAGTTGCTCCGCGGCATGTGGCATCTTCCCAGACCAGGGCTCGAACCCACGTCCCCTGCATTGGCAGGCAGATTGTCAACCACTGTGCCACCAGGGAAGCCCCCTAATGTATGTTTTGATGGCATCGTAATGTCCTATTATTTCCCCCTTAACCTTCTGTGCTGGGTGATCCCGCACAAGGCATCAGATGGTCGTGCAAACCAGGTCCCTGTGCACCAAGCCCCCCAGGTCCCCACCCTAACCCCCTCTTGGTTAACCCATCAGAGGGCTGACCACCCACCAGCAAGGCCCTCCACAGTGAGTTCTGATTCACCGTGTGGACTCACCCTGCCCCAGACTTTACCCATTTTGGGGGAGTCATTTCCTGATTGGTTGAGCTTTACGTTTCCCTCAAATGTCTAGAGTTAGAAATAATTCTTCTTTTTCTTCTTTCTAATTCTAGGCATTTCAAGGAAATGTAAAAGTTCAACCAGTCAGGAAGCATCCTTATCACTGAACCATCTTCCCCCAGACAGTGACAATGAATATTTAGCTCGAAAGGTCAGGATGGAGGCATAAATACTTGTTTTCAAATTGCACAGCAGAAAAGGTGTCAAACTGCCCGCCCTCCAGCCGAGCTTTAGGCCCCGTTACTGGTTCTCCTCTGTCGATGCTGGTGTCACTGAGTTTTATCTGGATGAAGACATCAGAGAAGGTATTGCAAAGGCAAACTGGAAAACCATTTAATGAAGGATCACTGTCCGATGGGGTCAATTCCCCCCGAATCTCCCGAACCAGCCCCGAAGACTCCTGTTCAGTCCAATGCACAAGCCGAACATCTTGCTTACAAAAATAGACGGTTTATTCTGAGAAAGTTCTAGGTGTACAGGGCAGTTGTCAGCATAGTACTGAGACTCCTCAGCCACCTTCCCCATCCTTCCCCGTCACGTTAACACCTGACATCCCCGCCGTAACGAAGAACCGACATCGGTCCGTTTCGAAGGAGGGATCGGTGTTGGAATCTCGCCTGTTTTCCCCGTGCTCTTCTGGGATCCAGCCTGCGATCCTCTCGTTTTCCTTAGATGTTCCAGCTTCCATCTTTCTCAGGATTGTCGACAAGGAGGGGAGCAGGCTGACGGATGTCTTGATGGTTTTGACTTACGCTGTAGGAAGGTCTTTGTGACAGACAAACTCAACAAGGTGACGAGGGAGGCAAGAAAGGAACGGTGGTTGGCACGGGACATGCTGTAAACTAGGGATTTAGCCAGGGACGTCCGGCAGGGGTGACCAGCCAAAGCTGGGTCCCCACGGGTGTGGGATGGGACTCCGGGGCAGGTGCTGGATTCGACTCCCTGCTGGCTAACTCACCAGCTCCGGGCCACCATTGTGGCCTTTATCGGTGAGTCCCACAGCAGTAATCCTACACATTTCATCCCCCTTAGGAACCCGCCCTGCACATTTATTTACATCCACTCCTACCCTAGAGGTATCTTAACAGCACTAAGGAATCTCATTGGCCTTACAGAATCCTATAGGTTTCCAAAGACAGATCAGACGCTGGAAGAAAAAATAAATCGATGTCTCCGTGCGAGTTTCCAACAAACCACCTGTTTTTAGCATGGATATTTTAAAACAGGCTCAAGTAAAGAGAATGACATAATGAAACCCTGTGTTCCCTTCACCCAGGCTCAAGCATTATGAGCTATCAGCATTCTGGCAGTTTTCGTTCATCCAGTCCCCAAATACGCAGGCACAAATGCACACACGCGCGTGCACACACAAAGACGTGGGCGCATGCACGTGTACACATGTGTGAAGTGTGCATATATGGGTATGCACACACGTAAGTATGTGCATGCTTGTATTTGCTCTCGTATTTTAAAGCAAAGCATCAACCATCGTAACTCCGCCTAGGACTATTTTCATTTACACCTTCAGCATTTTAGGATCTCTTTTAACAAAGCCAAAGCCCCATCATCCCACCCCACCAATCCTGGATTCCACCCATGCCCTGTTCGTGTTCTGCTGGCCCGGTTCACGCCAGGAGCCCAGAACAGCATGATTCTGCCATCCTTGAAATTCCAGGGAGCCTGGTGGGAGGGTAATGGGATGGCTCGGCCGTGAGATGGGAGGGTCTTGGTCAGGCAGGGGTCTCAGGAGTCCGAGGGAGAAACCTGTCCACCCAGCACACGGGGAGAAGTCAGGGATATGGGTCTCCGCGTTCTTCCTCCCACACCCTCCCAAGAGCTGAATCACAGAATCACATCTTGTTTTTTTCTCATGTCTATGTACATGCAAATGTGTTATCCTTTTACGGGAGGCTTAAGAGGGCAACAGATTGAACGAGTGTGTGGGGAGAACACACACACACACACACACACACACACACACACACACACACACACACAACATTATTAAAAGGCTGAAAGAGGGGCAAATCCCGCCCTGGGATTTCAGGTGATCTGACGGACCTCTCGGACAGGCTGACGGTCACCTGAAGTTCTGGATGGAAATTCCCAGCAATTCAGAAGACCCTGTCAGACCTCCTGAACTTCGGTGGAGTTGGGGGCCCCTAGAATGCAGAAGTTACAGGGGCGTCGACAGCCCTGGATGGCTGAGTGGCCGCCAACCAAATAAGGGCTGGCACAGCCCTCTGTGACCCAAAGGCTGGAGGGACGTGACATCCACTGGGGGAGGGCATTACTACCTAGACTGGCTTCCTCTGAATTCAAGCTGTGATGCTTAATCACAAAGCAGCAGAAAAACGTCCTGTGAGGGTGGTTTGAGGTTTTTCACACTTTTGTAGCATCAGACACTGGAGGCCCTCACCCAGATGTGGGTGCCACTGTCTCTCCAGCTCAGGGTTTCCGCCCCCAGACTGTTGCTCCCTCGACCTGGCTTTCTAGGGTTCGCCTTTGGGACAGTCGGGAAGAGTGGGGGGACGACACACCATGCACAGACCATTCAGGTCCCTGACACTTGCCCTTTTCTCGTCCCTTCCGCCCATGGGCTCAAGTCCTTCCTCAGGGCCATGTCCGGCTGTCCCTCTGAGGCTCCCGAGGGTGGCTCTCGGCTCCCTGTAAACACAGACACTGGCTCGGACACTGTCCTCTGTGGAGATGTCCCAGCTGCGTGGCCTGGGGCGGGGGAGGGTGAAGGGGCCCTCCAGGCTGCACCTTCAAGCCGAGGGACTGGATTCCACAAAGCAGGTCCCACCCTGGGAGCCAGCGCCAGGCACCGGGCCCTCCTGCAGTCACCCAAGCAGGTGCCAGAGGCTCAGTCTCAGAATTTCAGAGTGTGTGTGTCTCCTGGGGCAGCCATAACAAATTCCCATAAACTGGAGGCTAAAACCCCGGACAGACCTGCATCCTCCCCCAGTCCTGGAGACCAGACGTCTGAGGTCAGGGTGTCCCAGGGCCGCGCTCCCTCCAGAGGCTCCAGGGGAGGGTCCTTCCCGCCTCTTCCAGCTTCTGGGGGCTCCAGGCATCCCTGGGCTCGTGGCCGCGTCCCTCCCATCTCTGCCTCTGTCTTCCTGGGGCTTCTGCTATGTGTCTGGGTCTCTCATCTTCTGCCCCTTAGAAGGACCCTGTCGTTGGATGTAGGGTCCAACGGGATGACCTGATCCCATAGGTCACACTTTGCGGTTCCCAGCGGACATGGACTTCGGCGAGACACCGTTCACCCCAGTGTATATATGTCTGCTTCTCTTCCAATGTGACCAGGTGCTTCCAGAACATCAGCTCACAACCCCCATCCGCATCTCTGACCCACGGAGGGGACGTCACCTGCCCCACAGCCAAGCCACCCTGGAGGTCCCTGAGCCCCCGCCTGCCGGCCCCTCCAAGGTCTCACCTTATAGGCTGCAGGGCTGCTTTCCTTTCCCAAGAGAGCCCTAACCTCAGTCCTGTGCATCTCCTTGTGATGTGCAAAGCACCCAAAAGTTTGTTCTTTCAGGCAAATCCCGGCCTCCCGGGAACCTGCTGGTTTAGCATCCCGGGCACTCCGTAGACTGGGCCCCTTATCTTCCCAAAGCAGCAGCCCAGGTAGTGGAGCTGGCACAGGTGTGTCCCAGGTGCTGAGCAGACCTGCTATGGGCTCGTGTGGTCAGTGCTCTCCCCCGGTCCTCCAAGGATCCCACGGGTCAGGCCAGGAGCCTCTCCAGACCCCCAGGACGACTTGCTGTGGCCTGGGGCTCTCAGCTTGGAGGGGGAGCCAGAGAACGGGCCGGAGGGGGCCCCCCGAGGCAAGCTGCACCCCGAGGCGGGTCAGGGAGATGCAGTTGTAGCTGCGAACACTCAGAAACTTGTCATCCGCCCAGAGACCCTCGGTCCACGCCTCCGGGACGGACGACCTTCCGGTCTGGGGGCTGTGGCTTGGGGATATTTAAGGAGAACCCGATCCGTGCCGGGGAGCCCCCGTGTTTGCTTGGCTCCGGGGAGCGGGGTGGGGGGAACCAGGTGATGTCGGCGGTAACAGGTGATGTCGCAGGGACCCATGCGCCCCCAGAGCACGGGGCCCGAGGTGGCCTGTCCGCGGGCACGTGGCCAAACCCCAGTGCCCGGAGGGACCGCGGGTGGCTTGTCGCAGGGCGGGGCAAGGACCGCGCCGCCCTCTCCCGGCTGCCCCGCCCCCGCCCCCAAGGGGCGCCCGGCTCAGAACACGCTCTCCTGCCGCTTGACGCTGGGCCGGCCGGCGGCGTCCAGCCCCTCCACGGAGCGCACGGACAGCGTGCGTCCAGAGCCGAGGCTCTCGAGGTGCCCGTCGGGGCTGCCGGTGGGCAGGGGCCTGTAGCCCAAGTAGTGCCGCATGTGGAGCTGGAACTCGCGGGACGCAAAGTAGTAGACGAAGGGGTCCAGGCAGTTGTTCAGGCAGCTGAGGCAGAGCGTGAGCTTGTACACGTGGTAGTAGCTGCGGCCAAAGAAGAGCCGACTGACCACGTGCACCAGCAGCACGAAGTTGTTGGGCGCGAAGCAGGTGACGAAGGCCAGGAGCACCACGGCCGCCAGGCAGACGGCGCGTGACCTCCGGGCCTCCCCGTGGCGGTCGGCCGAGCGCAGCAGCGTGAGGATAGTGGCCGTGTAGCAGGCCACGGTGACCACGAAGGGAACAAGGAAGAGCACGACGAACAGGGTGAGGAGGAACGCCGCCCACATGGCCACGCTGGGCAGCATGCTGGACTTGAGCACGTCAAAGCAGGTGACGATGCCCAGCACCTCCACGGCGTAGGTGAGGTCCGTGCGGGCCAGCGGCGACAGGGCGGCCAGGAGCAGAAGCCACGTGCCCGCGCAGGCAGCCACGGCGTAGCGGCGGCAGCGCCAGCGGGCGGAGGCCAGCGGGTACACGACG